CTTAAGAGAAAGTTTCTTTAATCTGGAAGAGGAAACATTAGAGAACCAGCAATATTTTCAACAAGAATCACAAAACTATAATCTTCCTCAGTTCATTTAATCCCATGTTCCTAATTCTTGTTCAATTTGAATGCGGCTTTTTAGTTCTGGAAATTCTTACCCAATTTAGAATTAATCTTAAAGATGTAGAATACCTGTATTTGTCCTCAAAGTCCTTTTTATAAATCTCCTTGAAGAAGAAACATGTTTTGTGAGAGAATAAGAATGATTATAAATGACAAAATCTCAGAAATAGACATTGTTAAAGATCTGATGAGAGTTCATTATGATGCAATTGACAAAGAAATTTGGTTATTTCTGTGACACATAACATTTCAAGTAATCAGAATATTAGGTGATGACCTTATATCAAAACATTAAAACTTTAGGAATTGCATATATTTGGGCCGTTACAGCATTTACCTGTGCAATACAACCTAAGGTTTACCCTTGTATGACAGTGATTTTCCAAGTAACTTAGCATCCCAAATAAAAGGGCCTAATTGGTCAAGAAGACTTCATTTATCATTTAAATCCTGAGAAATTTGTTAAAACCCCAGGAAGTCATAAGTGCATCCTACATTACAGATCATTACAAATCTTAAAATTTTATTTATTCAACTAAAATTTATTTATTTATTTATTCAATAAAAGATCCCACAGGTGAATGTATAGCATTATATAGTTGTTATCAAAACCTAGCTCCTTAAACATTGAGCAGTTTTAACTAAGTAATCAAAGACCTGATAAAGATGAAACTTAAAACTTTGATTTTTCCCAGAGGACAGACCTTTGCACTGTCTTATCAAGAGCAGATCAACAGTTCAAGAAAACTTTGTCATTTGAGCAGAGAGAAAAGCAGAATTTCAACCTTACACTAGTGTACTTTTAAAATTCCATTCATCTCAACCTTCTACAACTTTCTTTTTCTTTCAGATTTTGTCCCAAAGCCATTTCTTTTCAAATAACCAGTCTCATTTAGGACAAAATTATTTTCATCTACCCTCAACAAAATTGTATTTCCACTCCTTATATCTTTATTATATGCCTCCTAGTTTCCTACATACAGGGTTTCTTTCCTTATTTTCATCAGTCTTAAGTACACTCAGCAGAATTTTAACTCTTAGGAAACCTTAGTCTCCAATTGAGGACTTAGTAACCAACTGAGAGGTGTTTACACCAGAATTTTTTTAGATGGTAAATTTATGAACCAATTAAGTACAAAACATGTTTTCCAATAGGTCTGAATAGCCTTAATTTCTCAGCAATAAGAAGTTAAAAACACAAACCTATGTTCAATAATCAAGGCTTTAGCCTTCCATCCTATTTGGAAATTTTCAGGTTACCAAGGATCTTGAAAGTTATCTTAACAATTACCCATGAAAACTTTGAGACAGACAAAATTAACTATCATTAACAAATTGCAACAGAGATAACATGAGCTTATTTGACCTTTGGCGATAATTTAAAGACAGGTCCAATAAACTTAAATTAGTTTAAACATCGAATATGTTTCACCTGCATCCACCCAAAAGTCAATCACTTTTTCCCCATTGTCAATTTTCATTTGGGGCACCAGTGGAGATCTCTGAAATGGGTGGTCCAAGGGGGTGTGCACTTTGCTTCTTGACTTGGAGGGTGGGAGGAAGAACCAATGGTGCCTGAGACACTGAAGATGGTATATGACCACACCCAAGTTGGTGCAGAAACATGAGGGGGACGGGAAGGCAGAAGCAGCAACTGCTTGGGAATATTCCTTAAAGTCCCTGTCCCAAGATAGACTAACCACAGTTGGCTCCAATTATAGCTGTTAACCTGGGAAATGAGGGATAATCCCTCACATCTGTTAGCAGAGGAACAGGGAGAGAGAGTCAGTGTCCTGAGTCAGTGTCCTGAGAGTCATTGCTCTTTTAGTCTGATTCTATCTTGGCTAGACTATTAAGGTCTCCTTCTCGAGGTTCCTCCTGATATCAGCTGGGTTTTGGGACTTTCCCTGGTTGGAACACTTATTCTTTTTAATGTCCTTTCTCCTTACAGTAGGTTCATTGACCCCTTGCTAAGGAGGTTCTGGGCCTCCCCCCTCTTGGTGGCTAGACCTTCCCTGTCCTTTTGTCGTGCCTCTGGAGCGAACAGGGTGTAAGCCTCACATAGTCTCGTATAATAATCCCTGAGAGGGGGGAATCCCCTTGCTGCTGGGCATATTTATGGCCTTCTCAGCCCCCTGTTCTGGTCCCCAGGAGGAGAGCCTCTTGGTATCGACACATGTGGACCAGCATCTGGAGAGCACCTGTGCCTGGCCAAGGGTGCCTGTGCCTGACCAAGGGTGCAATCTGGCCATTGGTCCTTGTGGGGGAGGGTTCTCTGGGCCTGGAAGGGGAGGAGAAATGGGCAGCATACGGGGGAGGAGTTTCAAGCTCAGGGGAGTGGGGAGGGAGCCTAATGAGTCATGAGGAGGTGGAACACTAGGGGAGCAGTGGGTTGCTTCTTTGGTCCCCTGGGTGAGTTTCCGGATAAAGTGGCTAAAACCTTTGCCTGGCTCTGCTTACTATGGATGAATCGCATCCAAGGCAGAGGATTTGGGGCAATTTCAAGCCAGGAGTCGATGCATGGGAATTAGTCAGTGTGACCTGGGTCTCTAGAGACAATATGCCAGATGCAGTGGACCACTGGGACATCCAAGGTTCCCCCAGAAGGCCCACACACACCAAAAGTGGGCCATTCCAAATCACATAGGGTCCCCAATGTGCCAGGGGCTATCCCAATTCCACAGCCTCCCAAAAACTCCCTCCTTACTCCATCCCGACCCCACAATGCTCCCATGAGGCGAAGTCGCAAAGACAGAGGGACAGGGGTGCCCCCTCCGATGAGTAGACCAGAAGATGCCTGACTGGCCATGTCCTGAAGGAACCCAGGCGACACTCAGCCACAGTGGTCTCAGCCCTGCGAGCCATGATCAGAAACCACTTGATGCTGCCACAGACCACACATCATCCATCATGGAATCGCAGATGGGCCCATTCAGACTCTGTGGGCCCCTGGGGACCCCAAGGGCGCCCGCCCGTGGAGCCACAGAATTAAACTCAGCAGGCAAGCTAGACAGAGTTGCACATTCACATTCACATACACACCAGAGGTAATTACATTCCCTCCCATAGAATTCCTACCTGTGAGACTTCTGAAGTCTCAGGGAGTGATCAGGTCCCCCTTCCGCTCTTGCAAGTGGGCCTGATTAGATTGGGCCCCAGCCTTACCGGTTCTGACATCAGGTCCAGGTCCTCACCTGCCAAGTCTCCTAGAGTCTGGCAGGAACGGTGGAGCGGGGCCAGCCTGAGGTGACTGAGTAGAAGACTGCTGAAATTCAGGCAGGGTGCACCTTCTCCCTTGTGATCCCTCATTCCTTCACCGCCTCACCATTCTCCCAAACTGGTGGCAACAATGGGCCAGCGTGGTTGGGTTTCCCAGTCAGGGAACCAAATATGTTACGGAACCAGGCTGGAACGCTGGCAGAAAAACCAAGCGGCACTCGGAGATCTTGGTGGATCAGAGATTTATTTAACATCGGCAGGCTCAGAGGAGACCATTTCTCCAAAGATCTGAGCGCCAAATGCAAGCAGGAAGGGTAATTTATAGTTGTCCACCTTCATATTTGTGTATGTGGGGGGGGGGGGGGGGGGGGGGGGCTTCCGCGTGGCAAACAAGGCAAGAAAAACCCAGAAGAGGGGTTTCTAAGCCAGAGACCAGAGCTTGTTTTAGTCCCGTCAGCCATCTTATGGTGTAAAACTTTATTCATTTTCCCAACAACCTCAGCCCAATATGCTTTCTGTGCCCAAGAGTTTCGTAATGCTTGTGCAACTCATGATGTGCAAAACTTGGATGCTGCTATTCCAGTGTCTTTTGAACAACTATCTGGCACAGGGCAATATTCCCAACCAAGGCAGCAAACCCAGCTTCCAATCACTGTCAGTAAAATAATGCACTAAACTGGTGTGATGTATTTTATACAGCGCATCACTAATATAGGGGACTCTTAACTCTTTCTCTGACTGTTTCTCCCAATACGCTCTGATTACTCTAACATATGTGGGGGCTTCTCCCTCACTCATTTTCTGGGTTAATAACTATGATGATTACAGCCAATTGTCTCTGGCTAGTCTACCTCGGGATGAAGATTTTAAGAAATATTCCCAAGCAGCTGCTGAAACTCCTTTTGTTTTGGGGAACTTCCCTGTCTTCTCTGGCCCCGACATGGGCTGCCTAATTCCACTAGTGGTAAACAAAACAAAACAAAAGAAAAACAAAAATCTGCATCTGCTCATCTATCTGAGTTGACATGCTTTAGGACTATGAGAACTCTTCCTCTGCCCTTTGCGCCTTTATCTGCCTTGAGGCCTCTTGGTGACACCTCACCTTTTCTGCCTTCCCTTCCCCCTCCTCCTGTTTCTGCACCACCTGGGGTGCAGTCTGCACCTCTGGCTCTTCAACGCCTCAGGCAGCATCAGCTCCTCCTCCCCACGCTGTCAAAAGGTAAAAACATCCCCTTAGACTTTCACCACCCACTTCAGATTTCCTAACTGGTTCTATGGGAGAACATTGACTGTGGTAAACTTTTAAGGGCACACAGATAAAATGTAATTAAGATAGACATGTTTTTTAAATTATCAAAATTGATGGGGCGCCTGGGTGGCGCAGTCGGTTAAGCGTCCGACTTCAGCCAGGTCACGATCTCGCGGTCCGTGAGTTCGAGCCCCGCGTCGGGCTCTGGGCTGATGGCTCAGAGCCTGGAGCCTGTTTCCGATTCTGTGTCTCCCTCTCTCTCTGCCCCTCCCCCGTTCATGCTCTGTCTCTCTCTGTCCCAAAAATAAATAAACGTTGAAAAAAAATTTAAATTATCAAAATTGAATAATAAAACTCTATTCTACTCAGGTTTACTGAAGGTAAAACAAGCTCATGTTATCCCTGTTCCAATTTGTTAGCAAAAGGATGACTTAAAGTAATGCTTAACTTTGTCTGTCTCATAGTTTTCATGCGTAATTGTCAAAATAGCTTTCAGGGTCTTTGGTAACCTAAAACTTGAACATTTTGCTTAAATGATAAATTAAGTTCATTGGACATGTAGGCCTCTTCCAAATCAAATGGAATGCTGAAGCATTGCTTACTAAACATAGGTTTATGCTTCTGACTTCTATGGCAAAAAAACCTAGGGATACTTAAATCCATTAAGAAAAAAAAAAGCTTTATCCTTAATGGATTCATCAGTCTGCCACCTAGAAACTTTCTGATGTAACAGACAGTTCACAATTGGCTACTACTTTTCACTGGAGACTAAGCTTTCTAAGAGTTAAAATTCTGCTAAATGTAGCCAGTAAGGCTAATGGAAATAAGTAACTCTGTATATATTAAAAAAAAAAAAGAGGGGCGCCTGGGTGGCGCAGTCGGTTAGGCGTCTGACTTCAGCCAGGTCACGATTTCGTGGTCCGTGAGTTCGAGCCCTGCGTCAGGCTCTGGGTTGATGGCTCAGAGCCTGGAGCCTGTTTCCGATTCTGTGTCTCCCTCTCTCTCTCTGCCCCTCCCCCGTTCATGCTCTGTCTCTCTCTGTCCCAAAAATAAATAAACGTTGAAAAAAAAAAAAAGAGAGAGAGAGATATGTAAGAAAGATATAAAAAATGAGAATACATTTTTATTAAAGGAAATAAATAAATAAATAAATAAATAAATAAATAAAGTTTTAACAAAAAGGGTAAAACAACAAGACAACACACCCTTTTAAGTTGTTTTACTCAAGCCTTGGTTGGAATTACCCATTCCTTATAATCCACAAGGCCAAGCAATTGTAAAATGAGCACATAATATGCTCAAAAACATGTTAAAAAAAAAAAACAAAAAGGGGGAGATACCCCTGGCTGTCTGCACAGCCTCGGCTCCTTCTTGATTGTGCTATGATTACTCTTAACTTTTAAAATATTATTCCTCAAGGACTAACTGCAACTGAGTGGCATTCTTCAAAATCAGATAAAAAACCACCGAAGGGGGCCCACATGGACTGTGCCCACTAAACTTCTCACCTGGGGTCAAGGATATGCTTGTGTTCTTTCAGATTCTGGACCTCTGTGGATTCCCTCTTGGTTGGTGAAGCCATACCATGGCATGATGGAGACACCCAGGATATCTTCCAATGAACCAGAACTTCCAGAGAATGGCTCTGATTGAGCAGCCACCACCCCCCTTTTTCCAGATGGAGGAAGCCTCTTCATTGACTCCTCATCCTGAAGCCACTCTACAAACGCAGGTCTTTTCCCCTGATATAACATGGGGAAGCCTTAAACCACTGTCTAACCAGGCCAGCATCCTCTTACAGCACAATGATATTGCATATACCCCTAATTCGCATCTGATGGCCATGATCTCCATCATTAATTGGAATTTGATATATGTAACCCTGATTCTTCTCCTTGCCCTCATTTGTCCAGGTCAAGCTCAATATTCATATTGGGCTCATATCTTTAACCCACCTATATTTGATAGTTTAACACTCCTAGCCTGGGATATTCCTATTAGCAATAATGACAGAGTTAGTGGGAGGAGCGAATCTTAACCCACCCTTCCAAACTGAACAAGAGAATTGGCTTTATATGCCAAGATCTCAAAGATGGCTTACTTCAGCACTTCTTATGTGTGTTACCAAACTTAGCAATTTATCTGCTGGTCTCAAAGTAAACATCGGCTGACTTTTTGTGTCTACAGACCAAAGCCTCTACAAGGCCAGACAATTTTACGTTTTTCTCGGCCACAAGCTTTGATACACCTCAACAAAACAAAACAAAACAAACAAACAAAAAAAACCCCCATATATCTCACACTCCTAACGTTACAGTTTACTCTAGTCTCAAATATTCAAACCACCCCTGGAATAATTTTCCTTGGACAACCTGTTATGGAGAGACTGTGCATAATATTCACTGGGACAACTGGGCTATTATTGACAAAGATCCTGGAGGACATCTTGAAACAAAATAACATAGACCATATCCTTTGACCAGTCTAGCAAGGAGAATATTTTTTTTGGAAAGATGGAGACTTGTCTGGCCCTATAATTTCTGCACATAAAGGGAAATTAAAGGACCTTGGCTTGTTAATCTATGGAAGGTAGGCCTTCCCTTCTTCACCAGTACTGTTAGCCATGGTGAAATTTATGTAAATCCACATATCAACATAACTTGGGGGAACTGTGGGGAATAAGCTTAGGAAATCCCTGAGCTTGCACTGATGGGTTAACAATAAAGAATTAGAAAGCAATAGGATGAACACACCCAAGTTTGGGTAAACAAGATTAGGTAAATAAGATTAGGTAAACAGGGCAAAGGCCCCCAGTATAGGACAAAGGTATAGGAATAGAAAAGCCTCAGGATGAAAGCATCAAAAATTAGGTAAACAAGGTTAGGTATTCAGGGTGGAAACACCCCCCAACTTAGTAAAATAGCAGAAAACTACTTTCACAGGAAGGAAACCAAAATAGGTAAACAAGGCAACAGGACTTTTGACCAAAGCAAGGCAGAAGTTGCCCAGAGTGGAGCTAATTAGCAAAAGAAAGATGCCTTGTTGACCCTGGGTAGCATGCTCTGTCTTTCTTTTCCCATAGGTAAGTTTAGGTAAACAGAGGTGGGGCCTCATGTCTGCTGTAAACAGTCATCTGCCCTGCACCAGGACTTTGACACCAGGACTTTGTTTTGTATTGACCCAAACCCCTAATCTCATATCTTCAAACCCTGCTTTCTCTCATGCCCGTGAGTTAAAAGTCAAGGTTTCATTGTCTCTTTGTGCAAGCCCATCAAGCTTGTAAGCCTTGTGATCCTAATAACAACGGAGCAAGGACCCTTATTCAGGGCTCTTGTCTCCTCCCAGACATTAGCCTCTCTTGCATTTTAAATCCTGCATCCACTCTCTTGCTGGACAAGAGAGAACTCCAGACCCAGAGTCTGTGACATAAGAGTAGTCAATGTAGAGGCTGTCAGCAGAGAAGGAAGTTTGTATTTTCCTAATTGGCAAATTATTAGAACTTTGCCTCTGAAGAGGTTCATTAATTCAGTAGAAGTAGAAGTAAGTCTTAAGGGTAGCTTGCAGTTAAAGAGGCAAATTAAAGCCACTACTACTCTGCTCTTTTCTTTGAGGTCAAGAGAAAACTTCTTAGTAAATGGAGAAGAAAATTTTCTCTTTAATAAAACAGGTAATAGCTATAATTCCAAACCAGAACTTATGAAGAATAGCTGCTGAATATAGTAATGTTTCAGACCTAAGAAGTCACAGTGCAGAGAGTACACTCATAGCTCATGTAACCCTGGAAGGAGTTCTTCTGAGGCAGGTGTCCAGTCCTATGGGACACAATAAAGATTATCTTATCCGAGCAATAATTCTGGACAACAGGATAGACTGAGGAGCAACCTCTAAACTCCATTGCACTCTAAATATTGGAAGGAAACATAAGAAGTTATAAGAAGTCACAGCCATTATGGTAGTGTGGAGGAAAGTGCAACAACAATTGGCTTTACACACAATAGAATTAGATAAATCCTCTCACAACACAAAAATCTTTGTCTCCTGGATCTGCACTCTAAGCCACACTGATTTATTTCTTCAACAGCAACTAAAAGGATTGGATCGCACTGAGCAGATAAATCCCCTACACCTCCTGGCTACCTTAGTCATGCTTCTGAGTTACAGAACATGTTAACTCTCTTGGAACATAATCAGTCAGTTAAATAAAATATCATGGGAAGCATTTAAAGTAGACAATAAAGTCTTACTGGAGTATAAAGGAAGGCCACAGAGTTAAGATGAAAACCTAGGTTGAAATTTGGAAAATTCAATCAAAAGAGAAAAGAAGAAAAGTAACTATATAAGGGAAAATACAGAGGTAGATGAGAACTGGGGTGTCAAATTCTCAGAGTCAGTTTAGCATAACTAGCGTAAAACAGCTGTGGAGAAAAAGGGCTAAAATGAAAATCCCAGGTAGACACAGACCAAAGTATAAAAAGCGCTTTGTAAATCATGACAGGCAGTGATAGTGGAAGTGGGATGGAAGGAATGAATACACAGTATTTGTTCAAAGTGAGGGCTTCATGCTTTCTGTAAAGCACCAATAGGATGATGATTCTGTGATTTTCATAAAGAGTCACACGGATAAAAGGAAATAATTCTTTCTGCATTTTTCTTCCTGGTAATGATTTTTGTTCTGTATTAGTGTCTTTTTATTTAAATTTTAGGGCCTCTTACTTAACTATCTGTTGGTGTTAGAAAAACATTAACCTGGGGCACCTAGATGACTCAGTTCGTTAAGCATCCAACTTTGGCTCAGGTCATGATCTCGTGGTTAGTGAGTTCGAGCCCCGCATTGGACTATCTGCTGTTAGCGCAGAACTTGCTTTGGATCCCTGTCCCCTTCTCTCTCTGCCCCTCCCCCGCTTGTGTGTGCGCTCTCTCTCTCCAAAAATAAATAAGTAAATAAACATTTAACAAAGGGAAGAAAGAAAGAAAGAAAGAAAGAAAGAAAGAAAGAAAGAAAAAGAAAAACATTAACCCAGTATTGCATCCATCCTGCGTCAGGGCAGTGAGTCCAAAAGTCCATTCTTGCAAGCACGATAAAGATACAGGGGTCTCATAAGGAGTGAATAATTACAAGAAATTGTCTTTGTTCTGGGTCAGATAATTGAAAGTTAGAACTCAGACAATATATATACTCTCCTATTGAAAGTAGGTCCTCTGTAAATTGGATAAGAGACATAGCTACTCTACAAACTACTCCCTGGCTGGCTTGGATGCCACAACAAACATCCAGACCATAAAGCCCTCTCATCATGCAAAATAGTTTGCAGAGGCTTTGATCAACACAGTGAAGGGTATGGAGATCTGACTCTTCAAAAGCTTCCTATAATGAAGGGTCATGAGGGTGAATATTTTAAACAAATGTTCTGGAGAATACAATATGGAGTCAACAGGTAAGCAGTATGAATATGCTTAACACTGCTGAGCTCTACACTTAAAATTGATTAAGATGGTAAATTTTCTGTTATGTGTTTTCACCACACAAACACAAGTAAAAAATGAAAAAGAATAAAAGATACAAAGACAGGCTAAAAAACTGTTTCAGATTAAGGTAGACAAGGCAGTTAAATTCAATGCATAATCTTGGATTTGAGACTGCATTAAAAAGAAGAGATCTATAAAGGACATTATTATGCCAATTGGAAAAATTTGAATAAAGTTTTTTTTTTATTAGCTAATACTATTATATTAATATGGGATATCCTGATATTGATAGCTATAGTGAGGTTATGTAAGTGAATATCCTCATTCTTTGGAAGTCACACTTAGGAAGCTTTAGGAATAAGGGAATATGACATTTCAACCTAAATGGTTCAAGAAAGGACACACAGATGTGTCTTGAGGAGTATATGACTATGTTTATGAGAGAAAAAAGCAAATATATCAAAATGCTAAAATTGGTAAGTCTTGGTGAAGAATATACTTTTTTTTTTTTTTTTTTTTTTTTTTTTTAGTGTTTATTTTTGAGAGAGAGACAGAGCATCATCAGGGGAGGGGCAGAGAGAGAGAGGGAGACACAGAATCCGAAACAGGATCCAGGCTCTGACCTGTCAGAACAGAGCCCAATGCAGAGCTTATACCTTTGAATAATGAGATCATTACCTGAGCCAAAGTCGGACACTCAACCAAGTGAGCCACCCAGGCACCCTCACATAAAATTCTTTGTAGTATTTTTGCAACTTTTCTACAGGAATGAAATTATTTCAAAATAAAAATTAAAAATGAAATCAATAAAATGTGATAAAGTGATAAATCTTCAAAGTTTTAAAATTAACATATTTCACATGTCAACAAAGCAAATAGACCTAATTAATTAGCTACATAGAATATCAAATAACTCGGGGCGCCTGGGTGGCGCAGTCGGTTAAGCGTCTGACTTCAGCCAGGTCACCATCTCGCGGTCCGGGAGTTCGAGCCCCGCGTCAGGCTCTGAGCTGATGGCTCAGAGCCTGGAGCCTGTTTCCGATTCTGTGTCTCCCTCTCTCTCTGCCCCTCCCCCGTTCATGCTCTGTCTCTCTCTGTCCCAAAAATAAATAAACGTTGAAAAAAAAAAATTTTTTTTTTAAAAAGAGTATCAAATAACTCAACTAGCAAGACTATATATGGATTGTGTGAAAACCTTTTGTATCTAGCTCAGATTCTTTTATCTGCTCATTACTTAAATACAGAGAAAAATGTAATTTGTTAATTCCAGTTCTTAAGGTAAACGATCAGATATTTGGGCAAATTGATATCTGAACACACATAAAAGAGAACTATTAAAATCCCCTTGCCAGAACACCACATATAGATTGCCTTAAATATCTCTGTGAATTTAATAATGAAGGAGAAATTCTGATTTAGGGAAAAGTGAATGGGTTACAGGAATTTTAGTTTCTAAATGAATTTTAATCATCAACTGGCAAAATGATATTTGCTTATAATGAGCTCTTATATGTTTCTCAGAAAAACTGAAAATATTATGTACAGAGGATAGGAAACTCCCTGTCCATTACTGGAAAATTTTTCTAATAACCAGAATATATACCTCACAGGAAGGAGAGAAGAGCTTATTTAAATACAACCTAGTGATTTACTGGTACATTAATTTGTTTTGCTTTCCTTGCTACAGAAGCACAGGGAGAGGAGAAAGGGGGAGAAAGGAGGGGGGAGGAAGAAGAGGTGAGGAGAAGGAGGGAGGCAAGGGGAGAGACACTGGGGAGAGAAGAGGAGAGAAGGGGAGGAGGAATGAGAAAGGGGAGATAGGGGAAATAAAGACAAAGGGAAGGGGGAGAGAAGGAGAGAGTGAAGATAGGAAAAGGAGGAGGAGGGGGAAAAAGAAAGGGGAAGGGAAAGAGCGGAGAAAGAATTTTTTGTGTGTGTATTGTTCTTTATTTATATTTTTCTCTACCCATATAAATAAGATTCTGCATTTCTTGGCTTCAGGATAGAAATTGCTTAGTGAGAACATCCTGACCTGGCTTTTAAGAAAGCTCATGTTCTATTGGTTCACCCTCAGAAGAGAGGGAAAGAGTGTTTGGGAGTGCAGGGTGATGGTATGGGGAAAAGAGAGGCAGAAGGGAAGAGACTCAAGGAAGCTAATAGGCTCATCTCAGAGCATTTTGTTGTGCTTCAAACATGTGGGAAAGGAGAGTCCCAGTAATGACTCAAGACTAATTCTCCCTTTACAGAAGTGAGAATTGAGATCCTAAAATGTTGTTTAATTTATATAATAGAATTATGAGAGATTTTCTATATACTGTAGGGAAGGAAATTTTAATTCTTCCTCAACCCTTCTGAGTTCTTAGGTGGTACCCCTATAATAAAATATTAACAAGAGGAAAAACAAGTTTATTATCATGAATGTCTCATGTATACATGGGAGATACCCAGGGAAAAATGGGTGACTCCCATTAGATTAGAAGGGGAGGGGAGATGTAGGCCCCTTAAGGGAGAGTAAATGCTTATTAGGAAAGATGAATGGGCCCTGAGAAGTATAGGTAAAAGATATGATAGTTAGTGACAAAGTTGGTCAGGGTGTGGACTTCTAGTCCCCTCTCCTATGATAAGAGTCAATCTTCCCTGGTTGAAGAAACTCCCAGGGAGGGGATTGGTAACAACTGACTTCTTTTAGGGGATCTGTTTTCAGGCAGATAAGAGAGATCAGAGACAGCCTCTCCCCCATTTGCTGTCTTTTAAGTGCCTCCAGCTCAAGACAATCAATACACCACAGAGACATATTTTGTGGTGGCAATTTCTGAACACCTGCAGTCATATTTTTGGGTGACACATTCTGCTATCCTTCAACACCCAAGTTTGAGACTGCAGTTTATCAGTTCTTCCCCAACTGGTCCCTATGGTTGAGGTTTTTCTTCACTTCTACAGAACACTTGTATTAATAGTAGGACCTGCATTAGCTGCTGAGCAGCAGCTCTGTGTTCAATCTCATTACCCATTTCTACTCATGGAACATTTAACACTGGAGTGTCATAGTTGGGTGTGTAGCCTTGGATACTTGCAGACACAATTTGCTGCACTGAATTTAATTTGGTAAATAATACAGCAAGCACCCAGTGAAGTCTACTATTTGCCTGGCACTGGCTTAGCCATGGTGAATAAGCCCTGAAGAATAGGATAATAATCATCATTATATCCCCTTCATCTATTTTGATAGAAGAAACTGAACCTTTTCCGAAAAAAGTAACTAACATATTTATTTAGCTCTATTTTAAGGGCAAGGTGCTCAGGAAGGTATAATCAAGTCTTTTACCTTTTAGAGATTTATCATGTTGTAGGCAAGATGATATATATGGAAATTAATAGACAACTGAATTGATAACAACAGTTTATCCTGGCAGCGTGTTTCTTCTTCCTTTTTCCAAAAAAGAAGAAATAGAAGCTCAATCTCTTCTTTGTTTTCCTTCCAGAGCTGATCCTGCAGTGGGCCCTGTTTCCACCACTCCCTCCATGGCTTGATATTTCACAGTTCCTTTATAAATTTAGGGACTTATGTTAATATTATAAAGATTTTCCTCATCATTAATATCCCTGGCATATAATCGTGCCTGATGCAAAGAATACGCTTGATACTTTTTTTTTAAGTGAATGAAGAATTAAAAACAAGATAACAGACCCATAAGGGAGTCACTTATGCTAAGCTCCACATCACCAAACTGAGACTTAATTATAGTTTTGGCTTTCCTAGAAATGACATCTTAAACCAGGAATCAGGAATTACCTGATTAACAGTAATTAGATAATGCACTTGAAAACCCCTGTCATGCCCTAAAGGAAAGTGACTTTGCCATAACCAATCTATCTTTTTTGTCTAATATAACATCTTTGTTCTCTCTTCCTTCTTTCTATGAAAATCTTTCATTTTGTACAGCTCCTAGGAGCGGCTTTCTATCTGCTAAATTGAGCGCTTCCCAATTTATGAAGTATTGAATAAAGCCAGTGAGATTAAATTTTGAATTTTTGCATTTTAGTAGAAGGTAACAAACTTTTAAAAAGAGATTTACAAAACATAAGAAATAAGATGTAGCTGGGGTGCCTGGGTAGCTCAGTGTATTGAGTATCCAACTTTGGCTCAGGTCATGATCTCAAGGCTGGTGAGTTCTGTGCTCACCAGAGTCCTTGAACTCTGTGCTGACAGTGCAAAGCCTGCTTGGGATTCTCTCTCCTTTTGTCTCTGTCCCTCCCCTGCTTCTGCTCTCTCTCTCTCTCTCCCTTCCTCTTTCTCTCTCTCAAAAAAAAAAAAAAAAAAAAAACATTAAAAAATGGAGATTTTATAGGGAGGCAAGAAAATTACTGGCAAAAGAGAAGATTGTTTCAGACAAGACCACCTTCCTTTATGGGGAAAGAAGGAGATCTTATTATAGGGCAGATTAATATTTTGATGGGATGGTTTCTAACACTACTATCAAAAGACTTTAGAAGAAGCAATGTGAAAGTAAGTCCTGACCTATAAACCTGTAGCTCTATTTCTATTTCAATATCCATAGTCAGTAGTTAAAGGATTATGATTCTTTACCAAAAATGACACAGACTCCAGCCCAGGCTCACTTCCTGGATATTAAAACTGGTCAGATCTTCCAAAGTTCTTACATCCCAAGAAATAAACAAAATAGGAAAAAAAAAATGCAAATTTTGAGATACCCAGACTGGATTCAAAGGTTTACTCTTTCAACTAAATAGTGTAAGGATACAGTACTCACATTATAGGATTATTGTAAGGGTAGGAGAGATGAAATGAAATATATTTTATTTTCACAGCTCAATTACTTGTGTTAAATTCATTTCATGTGTTTTATCGTCCTCTTTTGGACACTGGAGGGCAATACTTTTTGATTAATTCAGAAAAAAAAGAATGTGTCATTTGCTGACTTATGTGTCCTGGTGTGCTGGCTTTCCACATGCATTGTTTTGTATTTTACTAATCTTGTGAGAAGGTAATTTGGTGTCCATTTGATAGATGGATACTGAGTTTCAGGGCGCATTAGGTAAATTGTCCTGAGTTATATAGTGAACACATGGCAGAGATGATTGAATCAAATGTTTTACCTGTTGTGTGTGGGTGCTCAAAAAGGCATCGACATACATACAAAAAGGCCCAGTCCCTATCTTTAGTCTTCACTCTAAAAATCTTTACTCTTTGATTGTATGCCTAGAAGTATATTCACCCACTAGACCCAAGCTCAGGGATCAGCATGAAGAGATAACAGAGGTAGAACAATAAACCGACCATAGACTTAAAGGAAGAATTTGCATTTATGAAGATTTTGAGGCTAAATTTCCACTTTATCTTCAAACTCTCTTCCTTGATTGTCTTGTTAACTAAACTGAAAATCTAGAAGGTGTGTGTGTGTGTGTCTGTGTGTGTGTGTGTGTGTGTGTGTGTGTGTGTGTTTAATGCACCTATTGGGCAATAAAGTATATTCTAGAATTGAGAACCTATTTTAAACTTGTGACTAAAAATGTTAATCTGTTAAATGTCAAACTCTGCCTTCAGACTAGAAACTCACAATGCAATTGATCACCGGGCGTGGCCTCAAAAGCCAAGTTTCCTTTATTTTGAGACTTGGGAAAGAATTTCTCTCCCGTCCTTATTAGTGTATTCCAGAGCCCAAACCAAGAAGAAATGCGAATTTTGGAATTTAGCTCCAGAGCAAACTCATTGGTATGACTTACACACCAACAAGGTTACTCTATTTACTCAGTAGGATCATTATAGGATATAGTTTTTTTGCCCAAAGTTCTAAGGAGTTGGAAGGCAAAGAAGTGTTTAGAGTTTAGTGTTTAGAGCGGCTTAGAGGACAAAGTCCTAAATAAGCCCCTCCTGTTTGAAAGAGAGAGCAAGAGCCGCCTGTTGCTTAGGTGTTTGTCAGTGACTGGAGATTTACTATCAGTTTAGAAAAAGGGGGAGGAACTAAAGTTAGCTCACAAATTCCCCACAGGTTTTTGTCTATGCAGAAGTGCCCGGAGTTTCTCACCCTGAGTTCTGACCTGTAAATCTGCAAGGAAATCTTGAGAGTTTTTCTTCTTCCTTTTCTTTCTTTCTTTCTTTTTTTTAAAGGAGGCAGGGAGCTGTGGATCCATCCCATCATCGGAATCCTAGCTGGTAAGCACAGAGACACAGATAATACACTCTACACAAATATATAGTCAGTGATTTTTTTCTAAAGGAAAGTTCTTTCTGCTAGAATCCTTGCTACACTGTGTTAGTGGTTTCTTCTGCCAGGCTCTTTCTTCTCTTTTTATTTCTCCAAATTATCTTTATAAAAATGACACAGTCCCCTAATGCCCTCCCCTCCTTTAAAATTTTCGCTTAAATAAAGAGATCTTTACCAATGTAGTGAAAAAGAACTGTTGTCAATAGTACTGTGCAATTCATTTACTAAAAGATAATTACATTTGACTAATTAAAGTACTTCTGCAGTTACTTGAGTTGAAGTGGTAAGATTAGATAAAAATTCACATCTTTAAAGAAGCATGAAGTCCTCTGTTTTCTGGTAATTCTAGTTGTCTTGTGGTGCCATTAGTCATATTAAATATTTATTTGGGGAAGTGAAAACGTCTATTTCATGAGCAGGGTTTCTTCCCCTTTCATTTTATGAAATATTTTCCTAAGAATGGAGAGTTGGTACACTTTTTTTTTAATCGGTAAGAAAGTTTTGTTTTGTTTCTTTCTTTCCTGCTTTTCTTTTGAGAGGGGTGGGGTGTTTTTTTAGGTAATAGCATTGGAGCAAATGCATTGATCTTATTAATGTGAAATTCAGCATGTAACTCATATAATCCTTGATATGAAACATGCAGTTGTGACAATGATGTCACTCATTTCTCAAACAATGATGTGTTTAAAGAACGTTGCTCTGTGCACATATGTTAAGTAATACTTTCTTTCTCAATTAAACGCTATGAACTTTCTTTATAATTTGCTTTGTCAGCTTCTAAACTTTGAACTCATGTGTTTAATTGGCTCATTTCAGGCATGAAACCTGAAGTTGTATAAAGATTAACCACTGAGTATTCAATAGTCATTTATTTAACTATTTGACCTTAGTCCCATGGGTGACTGGAGGATCCTGAATTCCATGATTCCTTAAAAGCAGTCCATTTTTTTTTATTTAAAAAAATTTTAAATGTTTTATTTATTCTTGAAAGCAGAGAGAGACAGAGCATGAGTGGGGAGGGGCAGAGAGAGACCCAGAATTGGAAGCAGGCTCCAGGCTCTGAGCTGTCAGCACAGAGCCCAACGCATGGCTCGAACCCACGGACTTCGAGATCATGACCTGAGCTAAAGTCAGACACCTAACTGACTGAGCCACCGAGAATCCCCAAAACAATCATTTTTTATTAAAGTTTTAGCCTTGAAGTTGTAGCTGTCCAAATAAAATTGGCAAAATGCAATTTTCAAAATTTCAAAAGCTAAAGTGAGGGTAAAATGGCAATTTTCATCATAGGGTATTAATACTTAAACATACCATGAGCACATCTTGTATCTCTTTATAAAGAAATTTACCTACTTAATTTCATTCACTCTTAATCATGATCTTCTGAAGAAAGTAAACTTAAATTAGTTTTATATAGCATTGCAGAACAGAAAAGTTAGGTGACTTGCCCAAGACCAAATGCATATACATCTCCACTTTCTTAATAACATCATTATTAAAAATGTGACATATACAATTTGGGGTTTTTAAATTGGATTGAATTTTTTTATTTCACAATAAGGGCATATTTATTTGAAAATGATAAACCTACACAAGGCATAAAATTATGGCTTGTGAAGCACTAATTGTCTTAGATGGCAGGATGAGTGCAGAATGAAGCAGCAACTGTTATGAGTTAATAAACCGCTTCCTTGGAGTGAGGGCACTGTGGTATTGTGGGCACTGAGGACTGTATTAACTTCTGGTGGTGGCTGTGCCTGTTGGCAGGGTGAAACCAGGTGTGTTCTCCCAGAAAGATTATTTTGCCAGCAGGTATCTCACTGTCAGTGCAGGTGGGGTTGTGACATTTGGGCTGTGACAGGCCCAGAAGAGGAACCAGCTGCTTTAACCTCTGCCTGGCTGGGACTGGACTGGAAGGACTGATTAAAAAGAGTAGATAGATTCATTGCCTGCAGTATTTTGCAGACTGAGTACAAAGCTGGAAAAAATAATGAAGGGGGGAAAAAAGAATGAGCGAAAGAAACATTTTTTAAAAGTCATAAAACAAGATGAAAGGAAAAATAAATTTAGAGGGCCAGGAATCCTGCTCTGTACATTCTACCTGCATGCCATCCCAAAGACAAGCACGATTGACTAAGTTCCTCAAGTGAAGTACAGTCCCAAACAGTGAACTAGAGAGTCCTCATACCTTTTTCTTTCTTCTCTATTGATTCCAGAGTTTGGTCTGGAAATGGGAGAGTTATTCTGATCCCTCAGAATTGTCACAAGGATTAAATAAGAAACAAATATAAACTAGCTAATGAATGAATATGAATATCTTTTTTGTTTTAAACAAAGAAAGTTGGATTTTACTGGGAATATAATGGTAGCAAACTAATCTGTCAATTTATTTAGGTAACCCAGTTAGAGTTTACAGTCAACTCCAATGAACCATCAAAGCGTTGACTTATGGAACCTGGGTGGCTCAGTCGGTTAAGCATCCGACTTCTGCTCAGGTCATGGTCTCACAGCTCGAGAGTTTGAACCCTGTGTGGGACTCTGTGCTGACAGCTCAGAGCCTGGAGCCTGCTTTAGATTCTGTGTCTCCCTCTCTCTCTGCCCCTGCCCCACTCATGCTCAGTCTCTCTGTCTCTCAAAAAAAAAAAAAATAAAAATAAATTAAAATAAATAAAAATAAAAGAGTGCTCACTCTCCAAAGACATTCTTAAATGTAAGACAAGCTCTCTTGATTCTTAGTCTCATTGAAAATGTTTTTAATTTCCATGTGATTGTAATAAGAATGGTATCCTCTGTGAACAGTCATTAATCATGTGAAATAATTCAAGCTATTTTGTGCATCTTTGTTCAACTGTCATTTTAGGGGAACACTCTATCTAAAAGCCACTGGTCAGGAATGGAATGGATGCAAAGATGAACAAGATTCAGGCCCCTAGGTAGAATACAGTTCAGTAGTGTAGACTAGCAACTCAATCAAGCCACTGTAAGTAATAGGTTTATAGTAAAGACACCCTTGATAGGCAGAAAGTAGCTCGTGGGATTCTCAGAACAGCCAAGTAGGTGGCCTTCCAGGCCTTACACATAATTTGCTGGATGGAAGGATTCAGTGACTCTCCAGACTGGTTTTTCCTGGACCTTTCAGGAGACATAGCTATTCCATCACCTGCTGTTGCATAATTAAGTTGATTCTTACTTGCTGCTGAAATCACTTCATGCTTTAGCAACCAGTGGCTCTGTTTAACTTTGAAAAAATGAGTCACTCATGACAAGACTCCTACACCCAACCATTTTATCATTGCTTTCTATGGTTTTTTAAAGTTTTTGCTCCTGTTTCTAACTGAATAAATGACTGTATGTCATAGCTATGATTCCTGAAAGAATTTGATTCGATGCTCACCTAAACACAATCATGAATGACTGTTTGGCTAAGGCATTCACAAGTCTCTTGCAGATCATTGACACAACAGGTGATTGTCTCAAGTGGGTCGTGTCCATTAGGGGTCTAATCAAGTGTGACCAAGCAGTTGATACTGTCAAGTGGTAGAGGCACAGTCATCTCCATTCAAAAGGCAGGTTATTTCATCAGAAGGTAATAGGTAGGAACCCACGCAGAATCAAGTTGTAGGCACGGCAACTTGTTTAAGCTTTCCCAAACATATATGCATCTAAATAAATATAGTATCTGACAAGATGCATTATTTATCAATTAGGATGTGCTTCTAAGTGTTACAGGTATCCAGACGAGGAAAACTTACTTTTAGCTGAGGTCTTATAGGATAAAACAAGTAACATTTGAGCTAGGGCTTTGAAGGTGACTAGGATGTGAATGTGTATAAAGGGAAATAGGACATTTTAGGCAAAGGGAATGACATGAGAATGACATGAAAAGTCACATAGAAAACTTCATGAAAAAGACAATAATTTAGTATGGTCACATACTGAAAGAACAATCAACACCAATGTTGAAATCATTGACTTTTGTACAAGCATGGATTGGAGCAATTGGTAATCATTATTGGCATCAAAGCTAAAAACATATTCAGATCAAGATCAGTATCTTTCTTTGAGAATATACAGAACAGCTTATCAAGGAGACCACTGGCAATTGACAAAAGAAGAGCTCAAATAAACAAGCAGAAGAATTTAAGTTTAGAGAATAAGAAGTATGCTTGTTTTACTGGCATTGTACAATATTCAGACATGCAACTGTTTATTGCCTAATACTGGTTGTGTTGGTTGGGGTGGGAGAAGTAAGGGTGGTGAATTAAAGACAGATGATTGAATTGAGATTTGAGAGCTTCCTCTCTGTTAGTTTTAGTTAGTTCTTAGGATTTCTAGGCTTTAAGTATAGTCTATGAGTTGAAAAATATCAAGCTTATATCTTGTGATCTAATTTTCTTCTAAGCTATAGAATGCAACATCCAATGGCCAGTTTGATATTTCTACCTCAAACTTTATGTGTCCTACATAGAACTTTGATTTTCCTTCTCAAAATTTTTCTTCCCCGGGTATTTCTTATTTCACCACTTCCAACATATTTGCCCAGATCCCACACCAGAGAAAATCTATTTGCTTTTCCTCCAAAATATATAATGAATTCACACTTTTCTCTATTTTTCTCTTTTTCACATTTAATCCACCATCACTTTTTCTCTGAACTACTAAAATAGCCTTAATTTGCTTCTCTTTTTTAACTCTTCTAATTCATCAGAGAGCAGAAAAAGTGATTTTTATTTCATGCAAAATTACATCATGTCATTTTCCTACTCAAGATTCTCTGACAATTTCCCATTAAACTTAGAAAAATACCCAAACTCCTTTCTAGCTTCAAAGTTCTTCATAATTAACTTCTGCCTCTGCCTCTGCCTCTTTTATCTCATAGTCTCTCCTTCTGACTACTTCCCTTAGTGCATTAGCTGAACAGGCCAAGACCATCTCCACCACAGGATCTGTGTACTTGTTGTCATCTTCTCTGGTTCTTGGTCCTCACATATTTGACTCCATAAAATGTTCCACATATGCACATATGTCCCTGCCTCTGAGAGATGCACTTACCTGACCCTCTCCCTGAGAAGCCATTCCATACCCCAGTGACTCTCTATCCCATTACTCTGTTCTGTTTACTTGTAGCTGTTGAAACGATCTCAAATTACATTTTTTAAAATTATTTTTTCATTGTCCACTAATTAATTACTTATACACCATCTTTTACACTGTTATTCTATCAGTGCTTGGAACTACATGGCTGGTATTCAACAAGTACTTGTTGGAAAGTAAATAAATGGAGGAATGTATACGTGGAGCCACAAAAGTATAAATTTGTAAATCCAGATAGCCTGAGAAAATGTTTTTTTCTCTAATACCATAGTTGCTCAATTTCAAAAAAAACTAAAACTTTGTGAAATATGAATAAATAAATATAAAGAAAACTTGGGTAAAGTTTAAGAATACGTAGTTAAATTTCCACTGTTATTTTTTCCCTTCCAGAAAATTGAGCTTTTTTTCCAAAATTGTGCGAAATTTAAATGATGATTACACAGACCAGGATATAGTTTCACAAAATACCACAGGGCCCTGTTTCATTCTAAGATGGAACATATAGTTGTGAGAGAAAAGTTTCTCATTATGGCAGCAGAAACAACTCTTTGGTCTTCCTATGGCAAAAGTCAATATTTCGTAAGGTAAACTTACCTTTGGTTTCCATACAACACCCAGTGCTCATCCCAAAAGGTGCCCTCCTTAATACCCATCCCCCACCCTCCCCTCCCTCCCACCCCCATCAACCCTCAGTTTGTTCTCAGTTTTTAAGAGTCTCTTATGCTTTTGCTCTCTCCCACTCTAACCTCTTTTTTTTTTTTTCCTTCCCCTCCCCCATGGGTTTCTGTTAAGTTTCTCAGGATCCACATAAGAGTGAAACCATATGGTATCTGTCTTTCTCTGTATGGCTTATTTCACTTAGCATCACACTCTCCAGTTCCATCCACGTTGCTACAAAGGGCCATATTTCATTCTTTCTCATTGCCATGTAGTACTCCATTGTGTATATAAACCACAATTTCTTTATCCATTCATCAGTTGATGGACATTTAGGCTCTTTCCATAATTTGGCTATTGTTGAGAGTGCTGCTATAAACATTGGGGTACAAGTGCCCCTATGCATCAGTACTCCTGTATCCCTTGGGTAAATTCCTAGCAGTGCTACTGCCGGGTCATAGGGTAGGTCTATTTTTAATTTTCTGAGGAACCTCCACACTGTTTTCCAGAGCGGCTGCACCAGTTTGCATTCCCACCAACAGTGCAAGAGGGTTCCCATTTCTCCACATCCTCTCCAGCATCTATAGTCTCCTGATTTGTTCATTTTGGCCACTCTGACTGGCATGAGGTGATATCTGAGTGTGGTTTTGATTTGTATTTCCCTGATAAGGAGCGACATTGAGCATCTTTTCATGTGCCTGTTGGCCATCCGGATGTCTTCTTTAGAGAAGTGTCTATTCATGTTTTCTGCCCATTTCTTCACTGGGTTATTTGTTTTTCGGGTGTGGAGTTTGGTGAGCTCTTTATAGATTTTGGATACTAGCCCTTTGTCCAATATGTCATTTGCAAATATCTTTTCCCATTCCGTTGGTTGCCTTTTAGTTTTGTTGGTTGTTTCCTTTGCTGTGCAGAAGCTTTTTATCTTCATAAGGTCCCGGTAGTTCATTTTTGCTTTTAATTCCCTTGCCTTTGGGGATGTGTCGAGTAAGAGATTGCTACGGCTGAGGTCAGAGAGGTCTTTTCCTGCTTTCTCCTCTAGGGTTTTGATGGTTTCCTGTCTCACATTCAGGTCCTTTATCCATTTTGAGTTTATTTTTGTGAGTGGTGTGAGAAAGTGGTCTAGTTTCAACCTTCTGCATGTTGCTGTCCAGTTCTCCCAGCACCATTTGTTAAAGAGACTGTCTTTTTTCCATTGGATGTTCTTTCCTGCTTTGTCAAAGATGAGTTGGCCATACGTTTGTGGGTCTAGTTCTGGGGTTTCTATTCTATTCCATTGGTCTATGTGTCTGTTTTTGTGCCAAAACTTACCTTTTTCATTCACAATAAAGACTTTGTTAAGATTTTATTGTATATATGTCCCTAATTTTAAAATTATGATCCAAGGGGCACCTGGGTGGCTCAGTCAGTTGAGTGTCTGACTTTGGCTCAGGTCATGATCCTACAGTTTGTGAGTTTGAGCCCCATGTCGGGCACTGTGCTGACAACTCGGAGCCTGGAGCCTGCTTTGGGTTCTGTGTCTCCATCTTTCTCTGCCCTTCCCCCTTAACTCATGCTCTGTCTCTCTTTCTTTCACAAATAAGTAAATATTTTAAAAAGGTAAAACACAATTTTTTTTAATGTCTATTTATTTATTTTGAGAGAGAAGGAGACAGAGTGGGTGCAGGGGAGGGACAGAGAGAGAGAAGGAGAGAGAGAATCCCAAACAGGCTCTGAGCTGCCAGCACAAAGCCCAATGCAGGGCTTAGTCTTACCAACCATGAGATCATGACCTGACTCCTAATCAAGAGTCCATTGCTTAACCGACTGAGCCACCTTGTTGCCCCACAAAAGCATCTTTACTGTTACCCCCAGTAAGACATCTAGAGGAAAAGGTGGTAAAATTATGTATGTTTGAAAGCCACTAATTTGGACCATTATCCAGAAAATAAAAATGGAAAGAGCTAACATTTATTGAGAGCATACTCTGTCCTGACCACCATTACCTAATTTGTTCCTTTCAACATCCCTAAGTTATTATCATTTTCTTTATTTCATACATGAGAAAAACTCAAGCATGAGGTTTAATGCTGTTTGGTTAATAAAGTTATTCTAAGGTTGGAAAAATAAGAATCTTATTTAAGACAAGATTCTTGGGATGCCTGGGTGGTTCAGACGGTTAAGTGACTGACTTTTGATTTCTGCTCAGGTCATGATCTCACGGTTTTGTGGTTTTATGAGTTTGAGCCCAGCATGGGGCTCTGCATGCTGACTGTGCTTGGGACCTGCTTGGGATTCTCTCTCTCCCTATCTGCCCCACCCCTGCTCACACTCTCTCTGTCTCTCTCAAAAGAAATAAACTTAAAAGAAAAATAAAAGACACGGGGTGCCTGGGTGGCTCAGTTGGTTAAGCATCCGACTTGGGCTCAGGTCATGATCTCATGGTTTGTGGGTTTGAGCCCCACATCGGGCTCTGGGCTGGCAGTTCAGAGCCTGGAGCCTCCTTTGGATTCTGTGTCTCCCTCTATGCCTCTCCCCTCCTCATGCTCTGTCTCTCTCTCTCTCTCTCTCTCAAAAATAAATAAACATTAGGGGTGCCTGGGTGGCTCAGTTGGTTGAGTGTCCGACTTGGGCTCAGGTCATGATCTCACAGTTTGTGAGTTTGAGCCCCACGTTGGGCTCTGTGCTGACAGCTCAGAGCCTGGAGCCTGCTTCAGATTCTGTGTCTCCCCCTCTTTCTGCCCCTTCCCTGCTCATGCTCTGTCTCTCTCTCTGTCAAAAATAAACATTAAAAAAACTAAAATAAATAAATAAACATTAAAAAATTTTTAAAAAAGGAAAGACACAACATTCTTGCCCTAAAAGGCTCATTTTCTACAGAAAAAAAATGATGGTGGCTAAATTATTTTTAATTATTTTTCTTCACTTTTAGAGAACTTGTAATGGAGGCTTCACCTCTTGAGTTACCAGCTGACACATTTCAACGCATCACATCTGAACTTAGATGTCACCTGACAGATGAGAGGGTTGCCCTCCACCTTGATAAGGAAGATAAGCTGAGGCACTTCAGAGAGTATTTTCATATCCCCAAAATGCAGGATCTACCTGCAGGTAAGAACACTGAAAAGAATTCTATTTTTCTTAATTAATTTATTAATTTATTTTTGCTACTACATGAGTTTATCATAAACCTTTGAAATCGTTGTTCTCTTACATAATAGAGCCATTGTAATTATGTCTGAAAAACAGAAAGTTCCTGGTGCTACTAAATCAGCCTGTCAGCCAACCTTAGCCTCAGATTCTTTATGTTCCTTTTCTTCTCCTGAATAAAATACTTGCAGCGTTTTTATACTGTCATCTATTTCTCTGAACAATAGAGTGACTGATTGAAAATTATAGGCAGACGCATTTACTTGTTCTCTAAGCACTTAGAGCTCAAAACAATTTCTTTTCTATACAGTATTAGAATATCTCTTATTTGTGGCACCTAGTTAATGATAGCATGATATTTCTCTTAGAGGAAATATTATTTTGTGATTTGGGCATATTAAGAAGATATTATGTGAATAACCATCTTTGTATGCTGTGAGTAAAGATGGCATGTATAAGAATTACCAAAAATAAGGAAACAATCAGTGACTAAGAAATACATATTGCATTTTTTTTTCTTTTAAATAATATGGTAAGCTGATTCTGTTCTTGGTTTGGGGATGTCCTATTTTAAAAAAATAGGTAGCACAAGTATAAAAATATGAAATTTTTAAAATATTTGACTTTGCTCCATTTTACATCAATGAAAAAAGATTTGTCAAAATAAATATAGGTTTTATTTTCCTTTTCCTAGATGGTTTTTGAGACATTGTTAGAGAAAAGGGTCAAAATTATTTTTACTTAGCTGATGTTGCACTTAGTGTTCAATGTTGTTCTAAAGACCATACCCCAAAATAACACATGCACACATGCATGCACACACACACTCATGCACAAACATATGCACCAAGAAAAAGGAAGAAAGCAAGCAAGGAAGGCATACAAGACATAAATATTGGAAAGACCTGTCTAAATCTCTCTAAATTATTCCTGTTTGGAACATAATTGTTCCTGAATCTCTGAGAGGATACTGGATAGTTCCATAAGATATATTGGTTTTTCAGAGATACAAGACAAAGTTTTTATGACCTACCTATCAAAGTACCAAAATGACTTCCACATTTACATTTGTATTTCCTCCAGAAACAAAAGCACTTGTGTCATGGACATCTTTGCTTATTTGATAATCAAAAATTGTTCCTTCCTTGTTTGAATTTGCAAATCTTGGAACAGTGTTTGAAATTTGTATAAACTCCTTGGCCATTTGCTTTTCTTAAAAAGTTGTAATTTTTTCTTCACGTATAAAGTTTATTGCTTCTAGATATTTTATTTTTCAATTGATTTTAATTTTTTAAGTCTTAGTTATATTAACAACTTGTTCTAAAGAGTTTTAAATTAAAATTTTTTTTAATGTTTATTTATTTTTGAGAGAGAGAGAGTGTGAGCGGCGTGGGGGGGGTAAGGCAGAGAGAGAGGGAAACAGCGATCTGAGGCAGGCTCTCAGCTATCCGCACAGAGCCTAATGAGGGGCTCCAACTCACGAACCATGAGATCATGACCTGAGCTGAAGTCGGACGGTTAACCGACTAGGACACCCAGGCACCCCTGTAAGGAATTTTAAATGAATTTGCCTAGTCCATGTAGCTGTATGATATAACCAGAAATGGATTCCAAATTTTGGGACTCCTTCTCCAGTTGTCTTGACTCAAAGCTATTACTTTTTCAAAGATTACTCTAAGGGAACCTGACTGGCTCAGTCAGTAGAGCATGGGACTTTTGATCTCAGGGTCATGAGCTCAAGCTTCATGTTGGGCATAGAGCTTACTTAAAAAAGAAACTACTGTATTGAGTTGGAATTTATATACCATAGAATCCACTTTGTTTTATGCTCTGCAAGATACCCCCAGGATTTGCTTATCTTATAACTGAGAGTTGGTACCTTTTGACTATTTTTACCTATTTTGCCTACCCCACACCTGACGCCTTTGGCAACCACCACCAATCTGTCTCTGTATCTATCAGTTCATTTTTATTTATTTATTTATTTATTTATTTATTTATTTATTTATTCATTCATTCATTCATTCAATTCTTCATATCAGTGATATCATACAATATTTTCTTTCTTTGTCTGACTTATATCATTTAGTATTTTAAGTGCACAGTTTGGGGCACCTGGGTGGTTCAGTCGGTTAAGTGTCTGCCTTTGGCTCAGGTCATGATCTCATGGTCCATGGGTTCAAGTCCCACATCAGTCTCTATATGCTGACAGCTCAAAGCCTGGAGCCTGCTTCAGATTCTGTGTCTCCCTCTCTCTCTCTGCCCCTCCCTTGCTTCTGTCTCTCTCTCTCATTCTCTCTCTCAAAAAGTAAATAAACATTAAAAAAATGTTTTTAAGTGCATAGTTCAATAGATGCTTATAGTTTGATGATCATCACCACAACCTGAGTCTTTACTCCCTTTTTACATCCCCAGCTCCAAGTGGCCAGTAATCTACCAAACCTGTTACTATTTTGCTCTATATAGATCATTAAATCAGAAAATGCCCTTGCAAGTAACTTGTGTTTGAGAGTAGTTTTACACAAAGAGTTGCTTAAAAATGATAAGGAAGAGAATTTAGATGATACATACCTTATTTAACACTTCCTGAAACTCACAATTTCCATTCCCTAGGGTCCAGGGAACTGCAAAATGGGGTAGGAGGCAGGAAGCTTTTATAGGACAAAGAATAAAGAACAAGGAAGAGAAAAATAGAAAATGTCTGATTTGGTGGGGCCACATAGTAAAACTTGTTTGGGGCAAGAAGGAATAAGGAAATAAGTATAGAGTCCAGAGTTGGCTTGGCATTAGGATTGGCTGACAGTATGTACTGCCTTCCTGGTCAAGCAGAACATTAATAGGGACTAGGAAAGTCACCAAAGTTTCCATGCTGATGTATCATCCTGGGCAGAAGCAGCTCCGTCTTGGACCTAGAAAGTTATTTCAATGGTATTCCTATCACTGTTTCTTTCATCCTCAAATAGTCCCCTCTTTCAATTTTATCATATGTTCAGGAAAGATGAGAAAATTGTCATTCAACTTTAATAAGTTAAATTGAATGCTCTCCAAACAAGATCTACCATTACTATGACTTTGTGATATTATCCTGTTAGATACAATTGGCATAGAAAACTGCCATGCTTGAGTTTGTCTCCAGGGGTTCCATGTAATATAATAGAGCCTCTTCAGTTCAACTATTGTTACGCTCAGAAGTTAGTGACAAGTATGAGGTATCAGTGAATGAAATATGGGAAAGTATGCTTTTTAGCATAACGTATAATCCTTTATTTAATAGTAGCTAACATGTTAAATAAAGGCTTTATCCAGCTATATTTATGACTATAGGATTCTAATGATTTATATATCTAATTTCTATAAGAAAAAAAGTAAGAATATTTCTTAGTTAAAAATTTGATTTCGTAGACATTTTGAATTTCTCATTGTACTTGCATTATGCAATTTTGTGGACTTGTAATCTTTTTAAAAAATTTTTGTACGTTTATTTATTTTTACCAGAGAGAGAGAGAGAGAGAGAGAGAGAGAGAGCGAGAGAGAGAGAATCAGAGCATGAGCAGGGGAGGGGCAGAGAGAGAGGGAGACACAAAAACCTAAGCATGGTCCAGGCTCTGAGCTGTCAGCACAGAGCCCGATGCAGGGCTCGAACTCACCAACCACAAGATCATGACCTGAGCGGAAACCAAGAGTCGGATGCTTTACTGCCTGAGCGACCGAGGCACCCTATGGACCTACTTGTAATTTTGTCTTTCCTTTTGTATTAGACTAATTGTTCCCTGAAAGCAAGGGCTATGTTATTTCTCTTTGTATGAATGGGAGTCATCTAGGCAGACCCTAAGGTGGAGGTGGCCAGTGAGGTCTTATCCCTCAGAAAGAACAGCATTTGTAAACACACAAGCAAGAGAAAGCATAGTTGCTGAAGAATTAGAAAATTTGCGTGTGTGTGTGTGTGTGTGTGTGTTTGCATGTGTGTCTTTCTTTCTTTCTTTCTTTCTTTCTTTCTTTTTCTTTTTTTTTTTTAACTGCCCAGTAATGTTTGAATTTCTGCTGAGTTTATTCATAGCTGTGGAAAATGTTTAAGCTTGGAACCACAAAATTGTATATTAATGTTACTAATATCATTTCATCAAGACTGCAGACTCATATTGAAGAAGGCAAAAGTAGAATTAAGGAAATGAGGTAGAATATTTTTTCAGAAATCCAAAAGGAACTGTAAAAATCAAAGTAAATGCATTGGAGGTGAAAAAAGGGAAGAGATTCAAGAAATATTTTAAATACTGATTGAACAAACCTGAGTTAATTATTCAATGAATAAACTGTTAACTGGGAGAAATAACTCCGGTGTTAGATGCATTCACATTTGAGATTGTTATATCTTATTGAATTGATACATTATCATTATGTAATGTTCTACTTTATCCCTGGTAATTTCTTTACTCTGTAGTCTTCCTTGTCTGATATTAATATACTAATGTAGGTTCATTTTGATCAGTGTTTCCTTAGCATATCTTTTTCCACCTACCCATATCATTGCAATTGAAAAATAGACTGTCTACTTATAGATAGAACAGAGTTGGGTCTCTTTTTAAATTCACTCTGGCAATGAATTTTCATTGGCATATTCAGACTCTTTATGTGTAATGTAATTATTGACAGGTGTAGATTTAGATCTACCATTTTATTATTTGTTTTGTGTCAATTTTCCTTTATTTCTTTCCCCCTTTCTTGCCTTTGCTTTGATGATATCTATATTTTTTTGGTATCACATTAAGTTACATATTAAGTTTTGTATTATATCTTTTTGTGTAGTTTTTGTTGGTTTGATTTACTGGTTGCTCTAGAGATTAAAAATATATAATATAAAATATACATTATATGTAATATATTAATTAATAGTTATTAATATATATTAAATATCTATTTAAACTCATTACTTGATTTAGAAACAATATTTTATCACTTCAAAC